GAGGTAGTGGAGGCCCCATCCCTGGAAACATTTAAGACCAGGTTGGACAGGGCTCTGAGCAACCTGATCTAGTTAGCGGTGTCCCTGCTCGCTGCAGGTGGGTTGGACTAGATGACCTCTGGGGGTCCCTTCCAACCCAAAACTTTCTATGATTCTGTGATTCGCTAAAACTACCATTTGATGAAATTAATTTCTACTGTGGTGACAGCTACTGGGAGGGTAAAGCAAGATCTCACTGAAATGACTTTTGGCAAGACAAAAAACAAGAGCTGAAATTCTCAACAATAAAACAGTATCTTATAAAACATATACTACTAAATGTATGTGCATGAATAAATACATGTTATATGTTAAAGTAGAAGTCATGTAAACATGAGTTCATATTTTTCAACCAGAGCAGTGTGGCCAAGTAGGAATGAGACCCGCCCCATCCTCTTGTATATCTATGGAAGTAAATCCTACCTTATGGTGTAGGTGCTATAGGGAAAGGGAAAATACATGTTGGTAAATCCAGCACTCCATTTGAAATATCCAATTACAGATTACTATTTTTGAGTGTTGAAATATCTTCTGTTCACTAAAATTTCTGCTGTGATGCATAAGAAAGAGAGAACGCGAAGTACATGACATTGCAAGTAGCTGTAGTTTAATTTCTTTTCTCACAAAAGCTAGAGGTTCAACAGCTGGCTTGGATCATTCTGTCCCTGTCCTAGTAGAGTGCAATCATCCTCTTCAATATGTATTTTAATGCTTTGTCACATCTACATTGAAATGCTAGTAAGTTCATGCAGGAAAACCTTCCAAAGACTTCCAGGGCAACTTTGAAAATGAAATTTTTGAGACTTAGTAAAATTTAGTAGAAGTTATATTTCTTTAGTAGGCTCTGAAATTTTTCTTAAGCCTACCTCTGAGTCTATCGCAGTGGCGTGTAGTTTAGTTTGTAAAAATACTCACTGAAAACCCTCTAGACACAAGTAAACAGACAGCAAAGATGGGTGCCAAAGTGGGCTGGGGTCAGCGTGTGGTGAGGAAGCTGTGGCATCTGTGACTCTGCTGCCTGCTGACTGTGCTCAGAGCTTAGTGGGAGCAGCAAGCCCTTCCTGGAAGCGAGGTAAATTCTCGCCAATCTGCTGTTAGCAATGTGTTTTCCCTCTGAGAGGTAACTGCTTCCTGCTGTTGCCTTCTGCAGAGTTCCAACTAGTAGGCTTAACCCCTAATTTGGGAAAGAATAACTGCTCTAGCAGTCACTGCGAAGCTGTCAGCACTTGCTTGGGATGGCATTTGCTGTGCTTTTTATATGAAACATTTGCCTTGTAGCCACTGTTCACTTTTACTGCATCTCAGAATTTCCTGTATTAAAAATGAAGAGAGGAGGCTTAATAACACTTAGCTTGGCTATGGAAAACAGCTTACGAAGTTTCTGGTAGTAGTGCATCAGTTTATTAAGCAAGCAGGATGCAGGTAGTATGTTTAACTGTACTGTTCTCCAAGGGGAAAGAAGATCTGTTGCTGTATTCTGCAAAGATCAGTAACTCTCCCTTTTACAAAATCATGAAGCAAAGTTAATTGCCTCCTTTTGCCTCCTAATTTAGTTATTTAAATGTTCAGTGCAAACAGAAAAGATGAAAGAAAACTCAGAAGGACATCTGTCTGAGAACAAGATACTGATATAAATAGAGAGACTGGGAAAAGTAGCTGTGAGTCTGTTTCGTTTTCCACTTCAGGAAAACCAGTCAGAACAGGACTGTGCAGGAAAAGCACTGCCATAAGCTCTGGCTGAGGGAGAAACTGGGGCACAGCTCAGCACTGTTTGTTTTCATGTAGGTTTAGATAATAAAATGCAGAAGGCTGAAAGGGAGATTTGATTTACTATTGTTCAGAAACCACATTTTCTTAGGTCTGCAAGTTTCAGCTGTCCCTGCATTTTTGCTAGGGTTTTAGATTTTTGCTTTTCTTCACACATTTTTCCATCTGTATTTTCTGTTTGGGATGATAATAAAAGGTTTAGAAGTCTAGAAGAGGAGGAGAAAGCGAGTGGTTTGCATCAAGGAAGCAGAGTCTCTCATTTCATTCATTGCTTTTTTCATTGTTTGGCAGGTGGAAAGCACAGATTTACAGAGCTGAACTGGATCAGCTGAAGAAGTGGGGGAAGAGAAACAAAACAAGTACAGCACCACTGAAAAGAGCTGCAGCTTTATCTAGCAACATCACCACAGCAACCAGAAGATACAATTAAAAAACAAGGGCTAGAGCAGAGAAGGTGAAAGTGCAGCTCCTTACCTTTGGACAGAAGGCAGCAAAATAATTATGCAGAACAGACAAGAGTATTTGATGGATCTAGCCAAACAGTGGCAAAGGGAAGTGCCCCTTCATTAACAGGAATGTGCCACTGTTTATGCATTGGAAAGGGGAGTGCCATGAGATCTACTGAAGAGACTATTTCTGTGGTTGCATATCTACATGTGTTTGTACCCCTGCTGGGACTGAATTAGGTGGTACGGGCAACCTGGACCATCAGGTATTGGATAGCAACTTTTTTTTTCATTCAAGGTGTACCTGGCACGAGAGCTGAAAGACACCGCAGATCTTTTTCAGAGACACAAACAGTGAGACCATCTCCGACCTTTCCCTTCTGTAACTGCCTGCTATACCATGGGATGTCGGCAAAGCTCTGAGGAGAAAGAGGCAGCGCGGCGGTCCCGTAGGATTGACCGCCACCTGCGCTCTGAAAGTCAGCGACAACGAAGAGAGATTAAGCTCCTTCTCCTGGGTACCAGCAATTCTGGGAAGAGTACTATTGTAAAGCAGATGAAAATCATTCACAGCGGTGGCTTTAACTTGGAGGCCTGTAAGGAATACAAACCTCTGATTATCTATAATGCAATTGACTCCCTCACACGTATCATTCGGGCTCTAGCCACCCTTAAGATAGAATTTCACAATCCTGACAGAGCATATGATGCTGTGCAGCTTTTTGCCCTGACAGGCCCAGCTGAGAGCAAAGGCGAGATTACCCCTGAGCTTCTGGGAGTCATGAAACGGCTCTGGGCAGACCCCGGTGTGCAGGAGTGTTTTTGCCGCTCCAATGAGTACCACCTGGAGGATAATGCTGCATACTACTTAAACGACCTAGAAAGGATTGCAGCACTGGACTACATCCCTACGGTGGAAGATATTCTGCGGTCTCGGGACATGACCACAGGGATTGTAGAAAATAAGTTTACCTTCAAAGAGCTGACTTTCAAAATGGTGGATGTGGGTGGACAGAGATCTGAACGCAAAAAATGGATCCACTGTTTCGAGGGGGTTACAGCAATAATTTTCTGTGTGGAGCTGAGTGGATATGACTTGAAGCTGTATGAAGATAACCAAACAGTAAGTGCACCTTCTGCTCCTTATTCTTTTTCCTTCTCCTCCTTTCCCCCTCCCCAGTGTTTGGCTGTTTTTTCTCCCCACCTCCCTAGCCTCCCAAGGCAGTAATTCCTGAGTTCCCAGCCCCAAATGTCATTTCCTTCCCTTCACCCCCAACCTGTGGTAAAAAGCCAGAAGCTATGATTCCTTTATTTGGATAGTTTTCCTCCCTGGACAGGTTTGTTTGTTTATTTATTTAATGTTGCTTTTGCAAAATGGAGATGCTCCTCACATGACAGCAGATTTTTTTTTTTTTTTTTTTTTGCCTTTTTGCTAAATGTTTACCTGGTTAAGTGTCTCCCTTTTTAAGTGATGTTTGGAGTAACAGTAGTGACATCTTGGTGTACAGGGATGGTGGATTTGGAGACCATGTTTTGGAAGTCCTGGGAAATTTTGAAGCTAAAATAGTAATAAGTAACAAATTTTCTCCCCATTTTTTTCCTCAGGATTTTCAATTGGAACTTGGGATGGAATTAATTTTTAAAGAAAAATAAAATATGGTTTCTAATTAGTATAGAACTTTTAAATTTAAAATTTTCTTTGACTGCTTTTGTTTCTATGGCTGATTTGACTTGTCCAAGGAGTAGTTATTCCTATTGAATTCTCTTTAATGCTATTAGCTTCTGGTTTTCACAGCACACAAATACGGTAACTATGGAAAAATATATGAACAGTTACGCATAGGCAATTTTGGGTTTGCTGTCACATTCAGGTTGCCTGCCTTAACCCTTATAGGGTTTCATTTGAACTTTTTTTGACAGCCTTGTGTTCTATCTATTCTATCATGTAATGGTTCCTCAACATGATGTATGTATGTTTGAAAACAGCTGCCTTTCAGGAAGAATTAAAATCTATGCTGTAAAATCAGGAGGTTAAGCTTAAAATGCTTCTACTTATACTCCTTTACATGTCTTCAGTTGCCTTACATTTAGAAGGCTTGTTCACTAATATCAGTTCCTGGGGTAGTCCAGAACACTGGAATGCTTGTTCTTTTACAGCAGGTGCATTCCATAAGTGTTGTTGGGGCAGAAATTGTTCCAAGAAATTTTTATACGATGTTCCAAATCTAACTGGATCTCGGTAAGCTTACAGACAGGGATCTTTTAGCCATGTCTAATGATCTGGTTTTGGCAGTCCTCTGTGGAAGAGGATTACTAATCAGTCTTAACTGTTGTTCTTTATGAAACACCCACCAACGCCCCATTTATGTGTAGTACACACATCTACATTCAGGTTTCTTTACAGAGAATCTTAAGTCAAATGTAGTATACTGCACATGTATGTGTAAGAGCTGTAGCATCTGTGTACCTCCTCTAGTCCTTGTATGGGTGTGACACCACTTTGTATGCAGCTGTCTATTTCCTCTTCCCTTTTTGCCCTCAAATAATAATTTCAAGAAACCCCTGAAAATCTCACAACTGATTACCAACTCATACAGACTTCTCTAAAATGATAAAGTGGGTGAACAGGTTGGGAGAAAGTGGAATTTCCTCCACAAATAGACTCAGCGGAAGGGGGTATTGAAGCTCTACGTAAGATGTCTGTTACAGTGCAGATCTCTGTTGTGAATTTTCTCTACCCTGAACAGCTCCACTCCCCTGTCCTGGAGAAGGGGCCAACTGTGATCATCTTCACTGCTGTTTATTTTGTACTGGACTTGTGTAATGTCAACATAATTGCATACCTGTGGGTTTCTTCATTAAAAATTGTTTATTGAGAGCTCCTGTGATCTTTGAAGATGCCAAATACATGGTCGTCATTTTGATGACTGGGATAACTACAATGGTTTTAATGGCTAAATGTGAAAGCCTTCTGGAAATCATGGATGTTTTATATAACACGTGCCATTCATCAGATCCCTGAGGCAAGGTGAACTATATCAGTACCTAAAACAACTTCAGTGCCTTCTATCCAGCCTGCTGTTTATACAATATCAGTTACGATAGAATAATGGTACAGATGAAAATATTTTCAAGTGACCTAGGGGATTCCACAGTTCTCGTGATAGGAATTTATAGCAATCGAAGTGGGGAAACTCCATGAGATGGGAATGGTTAAAGAAAGGAATTCACAGGTGATAGTTCTGATGTATTTTCCAGAGTTTGTATCAGAGGTTGACAGACTTCACTGAGGAAGAGTGGACAAAGATGCTTATATTTCCTTCCAAGCCATATGAAAAATGGACAAACTAAGAAGAAATAAATATCAGACAAAACCTGTAGAGCAATACTTCCCAGAAATCTCACTCTTGGCTTTTTGGTTACTTGATTGGTTTTACTGCCATGCTGCTCAGTAAAGTTTTGTCTGTTCAAGTTCTGTGTTCTGCAACCAACTCCTTCCCTCCAAACCAGCATAAGACTAGATCATCACCGAAGAAAGTAAGCGAAACTATTCCCTTCACATCCCATGCGTGCTAGAAAGGGGTTCTTCACATATCACTTTATACAATCTCTTAACCGTTACTGGTACAGTGATGTGAAATTATTTCAGCTCAGTTGTACTTCTAATTCCTTTGTCAGTATTTCTGGTTGCTAATACAGTTTCTTTACAAGATTTTTTCTTGTTAGAAGGGAGCTAAGTGCTAAGTTTGAGAAGCAATTATACTTAGGTTTGAACCAAGACTACAAAATAATTTCCAAAAATACTCCCTTTGTTTTACAAGCTTGCCTTATATGGTTGAATCCCTTTTGCGTGCATTTTGTATAATTCTTTAAGGGGAAAGAAACTTATGGTCAAGAACATTCCCCTAATCTGGATTTTGATAAACTTTTCCAGAAATACTTGAATTTTACTGCAATTGAAATGCATATTATGAATACTAAATCTTTTACAAAGACTTTTCTTACTAGATGGCAGCTAAGTGACAAGTTTGAGAAGCAATTATACTAGGTCATGAGAAATATCAGACCAGAGAAATTTATTTTAAGAAACAAAAAACTTATTACCTAATTTTTAGTAGCTTTGAGTTTGTCTATGATCTTTCTGTCATGCCTCCATCATTGTGTTCATGTGTCTGAGGCTATTCTATGAGTACGGAATTCTCTCTTAAATGACTTTTGCAAAGATACATTTCTAATAACTGTCACTGGCACTGTCTGAATTATCCCTTTTCTGTTGGCATAGCTTATTATAATACTACCCTATTCTTATCTTCTGTAGTTATTTTACAGCTTATCCACTGCACTTCCATTTTCTTCTCTGTACTATGCTAACTGATTCACCATTCACTGTCCTACATGTGGACTTAGGCTTTGTTATCTGGAGATTCTTCTCTTGGCATTAGTGACTTCCTATTGTAACAGATTTCTGTTCCTGATTTTTGTTTAGTAACCTCCTCTTGACATGAGAAAAGCCCTAATTTTTTCTCTTAATTTTCAAAGACATCAGAAAAAACATATCTTATTTATATCTAGACCTGGACTGGGAGTTAGTTGGTTTCTTGCAATTCTTTAGACTTTTCTTGCCTTGCTTTTCAGATTTAAAAACCAAAAAGTACTAGCTCATGGATGTTGATTTTGATTCCAGTATGTAGAATCAAATGAAGTAACCCTCTGGGTTATTTCAGGGTGACATTGAAGCTCACTTTTACGTAGTGTTTTGACAGCCTGGAGAGGGCTAATCTCCTATGATCTCTTTTTATCCCTTTTCTACAATCTGATTTTCCTTGGTGCTACTGCATATAGAGGGTACTCAACACTGAAATTCAGACTTTGATCATTCCTCAGCTTCCATGCATATGCAACCACTATCCAAGTATTTGCACACCTATAAAATTAGATTCTGCAGGCGTGTTTTTATGATCTGTGGAGAAATTAGAAGACAGATGAAATATGTGAGAACGGTCATCTTCATGAAACTCCTACTTATGTGGCAAAAAGGAGAGGGACGGTAATAGCATTTCAGGGGGAACTTGACTGTAAAATCGTAAAGAACAGGTTACTTTTGGCCTATCATTCTTGGCTGTTACGCTTTATCCAAACATATATCCATAATTTTACTGTGTAGAGCATGGCATGTTCCAGGTGTGCTGAATACACAATACAGTGTTAGACAGGTCTGACAGCTAAACCATGAGAAGTTCTGACATTGGTAGATCACTTGAACTGCAACACTGAGACTGCCACTCATGGAAAAACCACTACAAATAATAGTGCTGCTGAGTCTAAAATGCTTCCTGGTGTAGTATCTATGGTGAAGAGAACTATTAAATAAAACTAGTCTACTGATAAACATAACTTACTGCTTGACAGAACACAGAAGAATCTGGCTGATTTATAAACTGTGAAAGTTGAGCAAATGATCTATATGAACATGAAAACTTCTGTGCTTCTTATTGACGGAAGTGGCTAAATCATAGAAATCATAGAAAGTTTTGGGTTGGAAGGGACCCCCAGAGGTCATCTAGTCCAACCCACCTGCAGCGAGCAGGGACACCGCTAACTAGATCAGGTTGCTCAGAGCCCTGTCCAACCTGGTCTTAAATGTTTCCAGGGATGGGGCCTCCACTACCTCTCTGGGCAACCCGTTCCAGTGTTTCACCACCCTCATTGTAAATTTCTTCCTTATATCCAGCCTAAACCTACCCTGCTTTAGTTTAAAACCATTACCCCTCGTCCTGTCACTGTTGTCTCTACTAAAAAGATTGTCCCCATCTTTCCTGTAGGCTCCCTTTAAGTACTGAAAGGCTGCAATCAGGTCTCCCCGCAGCCTTCTCTTCTCCAGGCTGAACAAGCCCAACTGTCTCAGCCTGTCCTCCTAGGAGAGGTGCTCCAGCCCTCGGATCATTTTTGTAGCCCTCCTTTGGACCCGCTCCAACAGTTCCATGTCTTTGTGCTGAGGGCTCCAGAGCTGAACACAGTACTCCAGGTGAGGTCTCACCAGAGCAGAGTAGAGGGGCAGAATCACCTCTCTCGACCTGCTGGCCACGCTTCTCTTGATGCAGCCCAGGACATGGTTGGCCCTCT